TATCTCCTTCAGTAAATTACCAGGCATGAGATTACTGGCTTAAAGGATATTTAACTACTTGTGGCCTGTGAGATCTATTCTCATTCACTCATTGCCATGAGATTTCTTTACTTAGCAAACACCTTGTTGCATTATTAATAACAAGATAATAGCAAGCATTCATTGATTATTTGCTGTGTCCCAGATACTATTCTTAGGGTTTTTACGTGCATTATTTCATTCAATTCTAACAAGAACTCTATGCAGGAGGAACTATTTTTATTAGCCCCATTTTATACTTAGGGAAATTAAGGCTTACAGAGGTTGTCCTAGTTTACACACCTGGTATGTTGTAGAGCCAGAATTTGAAAACTCTGTGACTCTACATCTGAGCTATTAACCCAGTAGTGTATCTCACTTTTCTGTATATATTTGATGATAAACACGATATATTACAAAGCCTCATTTGTTATCATGAAAAGGGATGGCACAAATTACATGCTACTTTTCTGTGGAAAAAACACATGGATTTCAAAAATATAATCAACACACACAGATTTTAATATTACCAATGCTTTCAAATTGAATAAATGTTTTAATTTATTCAATGATATATGTTATATGCCCATAAATTATACATTCATAAAATAATGACACACCTGTCAATGTATTAATATAAAATACCAAGAAGTAACTATGAGGGAAATTCCCTATAATAAAAATTAGAAATCTACAATTATTTGAATTCCCCTTTCCATTAGAATCATTAAAGGCAGTGCTTAAATTTTTGGGTTAATTTAGAAAATCAAAATTAAGCAATATAAAAATAATGCAAGTAGATTACATCTCTATGATCTGATATAGGTGCCTGTAAACTGCATTACATCCATTGATTTTTTACAATTAGGGTGACCATGTAGTTTATCATAGTTTATCATTTCATCACACTTTTGAAAGCAAAAGAGAAGCGGTGTTAATAGAACAATCATCCCGGGCAAACTAGACATATGGTCACCTTACTTAGAATAGTTCTACCATTTCTTTAGTAACTAAAATCCACTGGCTGAATCCCAGGACAAATTTTTAGTATGCAGCATGGTATAGCGGAAAAAAAAAAGCCTTGAACTGATAAACAGGATACTGGATTGTTACCCAATTTTCTCACATAGTAATATCCCTGAATTTCAGTTCCTTCATATGTTAAAAGAGAGAAAAAATAATACTTTCCACCACTCAGTAATGTGATAAGAGCTAAACAGTAAAATGAACATGATTGTTCATTGTAAACTGCCCATCGCCCATACAAATCCAAGTTATAATACTACACTCCACACTTTGACAAATACTATTCTACTTTTTAAATTAAATCAAATTATACAAAAGTTCCAAAAATTTCAAAATATGTTTCAGAATATAATTTATTAGTCTTCTGAATATATTTATATATGTAAAATATAATATAATCTTCTAGTTTGCATAGAGGTTGTGACAAGTCATGGTAAATTTCTTTTAAATGATTTTTTGACAATAAAAGCTTGCTGACCAACTGAAGAGATGTCTTCATAATAACATTATCACGAAGAATTAGAAGTTTTCCATATATTAGTATGATTGAGAAACAAGTGGTTCCCAAAATAGAGTTCTTTTTTTCAAAATCATGAAGAAGAAAAAAAAGCTCTACATCAACAGATCCAAACTGTGATCAGTTTTCACAGTTGTTCATACTGCAAATTATACTCTAACAAATATCACCATGGACTTCCACTCTACCAAGTGCCTTGATAAACTTGCCTTTAAGTGGCTAACTACCCTCATTTGGCTAGGGACCCACTAGCATCCTCTCCCAAACACTTCAGTTTTTCTCAATATGGAACTGGAATTTGTTTCCAAACTCTTAACAGGATCACTGAAAGGAAACAGGAGAAATACTATAAAGGCAGGCCTGGATTGAGTCCAGAGGCAAGTACTCTCACAGCAATGCACTGGAATTATGCCAAGAAGGGAAGTGTTTTTGCAAATGAACATAGTGGCATAGTTAAGTATAAGGTCTTTAATTCCTTTGTCAACATCACCAACGTTAAAAATTAAGAAAGCTATGTGATAAACAATTTACTTGACTCACAACGGTGCGCACATACACTTTCAACTGAACCATAAGGAGGCATCTTAACTAATCACATTTTTTTTAATGAACTCTTCATTTTAATAATTAATTCTACCTATTCCAATGCACAATTAATGTAGATGACAGTGAAGTAATTTTACTTTATTTCAATTACCTTAGTGTGGTTTGCAGGTGACAATGATTTTGGTACTCAAATGTGGCTCCAATTCTTGAAACCAAAATAAATATATATGAATAATTTTAATAGTACCACACTTAATGATATTATTTTGCCGATTTGGAAGAAATTGGAAGTGTTTTCGTCATGGTAAATGTTTTATTGGAGTTAAAGACTCCTTTTCTTACTAAATCCTATATTCTTAAGTATAGAAATCAAACAGTTCCTGTTTGTTTTTCACAAATAAATGCATGCAGAAATCATTTGAGTTAAATTACACAAAATGATTCAAAAAATACAATAGTTTTCTCTAAAAATCTTTAAGCCTTAAAAGAGCAGAACTATAATGTTGTTTCCTAGATTTTTCCTAGACAAATTTAATTGGGCATTTATACATATATTCCTGTTCTATTATGTTTCCCATTTTTAATTGCGCCAAAGTTTATATTCCACTTTCACATCCATCATAATCTGTATAACTACTCAAAGTGGCTGCTTTTACAGCTAAACTACAATAATCTTAAATTTTCTTATTAAAGTTATTTTTAAGTAATTGTTGTTAACTTCCAGTCAATAAGAACACTGCCTTTCACTGAATTGATTAGTTTACTAGGAATATTTCTATAATTTCCCAATGGTTAGCATTCCACCTACTAGTACTGACGAATCCTCATCAGTTTTTTATTTCCACATGTATGGAACCTGTAGAATGATCTCCTCAATAAGAAATTCTACCAGTGTAAGGGATAGGGGAAGAGGACAGATCATAAGACACTTTTGACTCCTTCAGGAGGGTATCAAAGGAAGTTGCTAAACTGGTCTATAGGACCTGAACCTATAGCATCTGTTTGTTTTGCCTTGAGTTCACCTCACAATATCAGCTAAATCATGGATGATAATTGAGTGCTGGGGACCTTGGTGTTTTACATGCTAGTGATTAAATATTTAACTCTTCAATCAGGATAGAAAAATATATTTGCTCAGTTACTCCATCTAAATATTGTGTCCAAAGGAAATATAATGCGAACTACGTATGAATTTTTTTAATTTCTAGTAGTCACATTAAAAAAAGTAAAAAAGAAACAATTAAAATTAATTTTAATATTGCACTTTATTTAACCCAGTATATCTAAAGTATGATTCTTTCAATATGTAAGCAACATAAAAATTACTAATGATATGTTACATTCTTTTTATTTTTTTATACTAAGCCTGTGAAAGCCAGGGTGCACTTTATACTTATAGCACATTTCAATTTAGAATAGCCATTTTTTAGACCCTGAAAGTCATGTGTGGCTGTACTGGACAACACAGATCTAAATATTTTTTAAACTATATTTCTTTAATTATTCTATTAGCATGAGAATTTTATGGGGAAATAATATAATTTATATACCAAATTATTAAGAGCAAGACATCTGAGTTCAGCAATGAAACAGAATATTTGCGAGTATTCTCCTTGGTTTGTGTTAGAAGCCAGGTCAATATTGTTGCTAAAAGCTTAGGCTCTGGAATCAGAATGCCTTGAATTTGATTCTAAGCTAAGTCAGATACTACCTCCTAAAGTATCTAACAAACAAGCAATTTACCCTTGATAGTGCCATTTTGTTTTTCTGTAAAACAGACATGATAATGAAATCTACCTCATTAAATGAACTAGTGTATACAAAGCACATGGAAGAGTGCCTGCACATAGCAAGTTACTACTGTTAGATCCAGTCCCCTCTAAATTAACTAGGATTTTCAATTATTAAAATTATGTTGTTGGCTTTGTAGTACAAAGAATATATAGAAAGTTATTTCTAGGTATGCACTATGTTTTCTAATTTATAAATTAAAAGATACATAAATAATATAACATTACTATAGAATATATTTAGGATATCCACAAACGGAAAAGTATCTGTCAATTTTGAAGGTCCATGCGACATAGTTTTAAGTAGAAAAATACTGACCAATTATGATGACTACAAAATACTAACGAAGAGAAAATCCAGTTTTACAAAACAAAGGAAAAGGTTCACTAATTTGTATGCTGTTATTGTTTCAAAACATAGAAAACGTCCAACTGAGGTATTACAATAACTACAGCTTTACTTTGGCCCACTTCCACAAAAATGTGGTCCACTATAACATGACTTATCAGGAAAGTACTCGCTTTATTATTTAGTCCAAAAAAGAAACACGGCTTTGGCAGAAGTAACCTCGGAGATTTATCAAGTGAAATTTGATGATTTTTGTATCAAAATTTTAGTATTTATAAAAAAAATATTCTGAAAGTTTAGAAATGTATTTGTAGGTGCCCTGCCAGTAGAGGTCTTGTTAGCAGCCCCCTTAACGTCCTTTCTTCTGCTACTCACAAGTTCGGACAATACAGATTTCAAAATAGGAGCAATACCCTATCACTGAATCCTGATTAATACCACACCTCATTCTGCTCAGTCTCCTCTCTTAAATCTCATAGACCAACGTGCAACTGTTGACTTCTAGGTCAAGCATAGGGCAAATTAAATCTTAGCAACAAATGCTATTATTACCAATATTTATTGCATACCATTAGTGCAACTATCACTGTGGGGAATCACTGATAGTTCAGTAGTGACTTTGCTTAAGATCTGCTGAATCAGAAGGCTAGTGTGGCACAAACTCACTTGTTTAAATAACTATTATCACTCACAAGCTCTGATATTGAAATAGAACAAAAGGCAAAGTGGAATTTTAATAACACATATTACTTACGTTCACAAGTGTCCCCTTTCTGCTGGTAGCCTGCTTTGCAGATACACTTTCCAATAGGCACTAACCATTCTCCTTCTGCACTGCAGTGCATCCTGGGGGAGTTTTCCGCCTCTTCCTCTGCACTGCTGACACATGTCCCTCGAACCTCGACTAAAGAGGAAAATTCTGAACCAGTCACTGTATCTGGAAAGATAGCTAAATTCTCAATAATGGACCAGCACTTCTTGTAGTATACTTTGACAGAAACCAAAGCTATGCAAGCCCCTACATCCTGAAAGGCAAGATAGAATCCCTTTTTGGACAAAGGTCCAATCTCTCTCACCTCAGTGTTAAGCTTCATCTTTCTTTCACCAAGGTCACCCTGGGTAAAACTTTCATCTGCAGCAATGGTGTCTATTTTTACATAGAGGTTTTCTCTTATATTCCTGCCAGTGTCGTAGTCTGTTTCATAATAGTACAAATTAAAGGTTTCCTTGCAAGTTCCCAGTACTCCAGGAAGACTGTTACAATCCCTCAGGGTAAATTTCAATTCTACAAAAATCCTTTGTGCATTGCCTTTCGAAATCCAGTTAGTCCGCAGCCAGTTGTTTTGGTTGGGCTCCATGACCTGGCACACCTGGTACGTTCGGATCGGGGTATAGTTCTCGTCCAAACCGCTGATTTCCTCCCACTGTAAAATGCATTTAAAAGGTTATCAGTCATTCAGCAAATAATAATAATAATAATAATAATAATAATAATAATAATAGCATGTTTATTTTGACAGTAAACCAGGAACCTTTAGCACAGTATAAATGGTGGTCTGTGAAAGAGTTAGGTAGATTCTTGCCCTGGCAAACACTGTAACCTGAGAATACAGGACTCTCCGCTCAGCTTCATCCGGTGGCTGAACATCGTTCAGGGTGCTTGCGTTGTTTGCACATACAATAAATATTTCATTTTGTTTAATATCTGCTTGCTGGTGCATTAGTGTTTCTTTTTCACGTGTTTGCTTATGTCTATAGTCTCCATTGAGATTATAATTTTTATAGACTAAGCGCACAACACAATTACTTAAATTACCATTTAATGCATATGCATATGGATACATGGCAGAATTTTTGAGAACTCAGTTGACATTTTAAGTGTTGATGTTAAACTTAGAGTACCTAAAAACACAGGGAAGAAAATGCCAAGAGTGCTCTGAAATGTAAAAGCATTCCACAACATGTTGATATTCATAATGTGAAATCTTCTACAATCTTTTCAAAATGAGATATAAGGCAGTAACATTTACATAGCTATTTATTTATTGCAGCGTTATATATAATATTGTACATATGCCACCCAACTATAAATAAGTAGTTAAAAAAGCATGATTCATCTTTATAAATAAATTGCTTTCAATAGACAATCAAATGTACATGGCAAATCAGCATGCTGGATCATACTTCAGTAATAGGCTTTATGACAGGAAAAATAGCACATTTAAAAATGTCCATTCATCTGCTGATGTAATATATACTACAGAAAATATATATTTTCATGAAAAGGGAAAATAATGAGTTTAGAAGAGTTTGCAACAATTTAAAGATTAGTAAGCCATGTATGATACTATCTATTTGCTCGTTAGCAAATAAATTCCTTGCACTTAAAACAGTCTTAATAGTCTAAAATGACCGTTTTATTATGTCCTTTCTTACCATTATTACAAAACTTACCACTTTACATTTAGGCTACCATAATAGTGAAATCATCATCTACCTGTTATCATTTCCCCACTATAAAATGCTAAATATGAAAATATGTTAGTATTCAAATCCAAAGTCACACAGCAATACACTTTTTAACCCATCGTTTCAAGTAAAGCAGATAAGAAAACAAACTAATAAGCATGCGGCAATGAATTTTATTTGTAAAACTTGATCAGAGAATCAATTTATTAACATACTCTAAAATATTAATATCTACTGTTAAAACTGTTTTTCAGAAAACTATGACTGACAACAAAATACTGTAATTCAGAAATTTCTTATATGACATTATATATTTGCTACATTCTTATTATACGTATCAAAGCTCCTCAAATGCAGTGAAGAACCCACTATCACATGCAGGTGTTACTCAACACAACTTGAGTTTCTGACTATTAATGATTGCATGTTTCCCTTTGTTTCAGTTAGCTGCTTATAATCTGTCTAAATGGCACTTAGCCAAATATACCTAAATTCATCCATTTGGATGGGTAGATTTTAGTCTCTTAGTTAGATCGAAATTATTAAAAGAAGTCACGCTAATAGTGATACCTACCAAGAAATCAAAAGCTCCAAAGATAAATGTTCTCTTTTTAACAATTCCCCGGCTTGAAGAAACCAAGGCTAATTATTATAAAAGTATATATGTCTCAACGTTTCTTGTTTCTAACTTCAAAAACAATCATATTACTTTGTTGTATGTACAAAAAATCAATTTCACGACCTATGAAACCAAGTTAATTTTAATTTTTATTTAAAAATGTATTCCAGAGGGGAAAATTTCAGGACAACTATTGTATATATAGCAAATAGTGAGACTACACAAATGCATTTAACACAACTCCTGTTTATTCTTTCTCTTTTCTAAGAGACTACAATCATTTCTACAAATGACACCACTGGGAAAGAAGTCTTAGTTCAGATACTGTGATTTTATGGTATACTCATGAAAGTATTTTCTAGAAACATACTTTAATAACACTATTTCCTGTTAGATATTTAATCACATGCAAGCCAATCCATTTCATATATAAAACACATCGTCAATCATCATTCCCTAATATTATCTATTGATTCCTACAGATATGTAGGGTTAACTGTTAAGATACTTTGGACTGATAAAATGCCCATTTGAGTCAAAGAGAACACAGTCATAATTTTTCATTTTGTATATTACATTGATGAAATACTATAATCACTACAATCCTACATCAGTTTACTTCTCCTTAGAGATAAAAACCATCTTCTATCTCTATTTGTTTTAATTGATGGATGGTAGAAAATGTGCTACATCTGTCATTGGTAAGAAAGGTGTTTCTTTTTTACTGTGAATGTCTTCCTATAATGTGTATTATTTTACTCATGGAAACTATTCCAGTTACAAGAAAAGTATGACATTCTTACCTTAAAGTCAGTGCACTTTTTATATTTAATCTGTAAAATGTGTCACTTTTCATACTTTAATCTGACCAATACAGATAACTGCAATATGATCTTAAACAATCTCTCAAATATTAATTGCTGAAAAATCTGAGTATTTTAAGAATGGCAGTGTTCACATTTTGCATTCTTAAACTGACTTCCAGTTCATGACATGTTGATTTTATGTTCTTCTTATACTCAAAAATCCCTTTTAGACTTTCATTCTTCTCTTTGCAAAATCTGTTACACTTTTTATATCCTCACTTATACTTCATGCTCTTTGACTCCAGATTTCTTACTGTACCAAAGACCAACTTAAAGTAACAATGAGCTACATACTCTCATTTCTCAGAGCCTCTTCCTTCAATAAGGGATGAAGTATGTGTTCTCTCTCACAATTAAAATAAGACCTAAAGACAAAGACGTTGAGCTAAATTTAAGTAAGTAATATACCTTTCCAGATATGTGAAATGCAACAGTCAGAATATTTTAAGGGTTTACTTATAACTTCATAGATTTTTATTGTACACCTTTTCCTCATATTTGTTATAGCAGATTTTTACTACAATATGTACACGCTCTGCCATCACTTCAGATTAATAACAGCAGAGAGCACATGATAAAAATTTGGATTTTTACACCAAATTCCAACATAAAATATTGAGCACATAACAGTTTTAGTTATCTTTTAAGGTATATTTTGAATGATGCTAAAACTTTTTAAAAGAAGAAACAGATCACATACTATTTTAAAGAACTACATACAACCTACCTAGTGATTATACTAAGAAGTATAAAGCAACTAAAGAGATTTAAGTGAGTTTGTGAAAGAAATGTTCCCTATAATTAGTTAGCATTTATAGCATGGAAACTGAGATATAATTCCTCTCACAATAAGAACTCAAAAGATTATGGGTATAAGATTTTTTTTTAAGCCATTTCCCCAAGTACTAAGTAGACCTTCCCTACTGAAAGAACTCAATGTCTCATTGTAATACCACAAAATTTTGAACAAGATACTTGGAATTAAAACCGTGTAAATATGAAGAACATGAATAATTCCATTCAGGGGGAGAAGGGGAAGGTTGTGTTTCTTGCTAAAATAAATGGTGATATGTATTCTGTGAGGAGATGCACTTACCCCATTGGGTGGAGAAGAAATCCATTCCAACTCTGTTTGTTGTGCTTTAGAATCCAGCAGTAGTACTGAAAAAGAAAGTTTTATTTCCAAATGTTACATGAAAAATTTAAACAAATTTGTAAAAGTTATTAAAGTGAATCTAATTTTTATATAATTATCACTTATGATCTAAGATTTATAATGTTATCTATCTCTTTATAATGTTATCTATCTATAATGTTATCTAAATAACATTATTTATAATGTTATCTATGTGAATGAATGATGACCTGAATACCCACCTGATACCAGTATATCCCCCTTTCTTAGGGAGAAAAGATGTTACAACACCATTTTATGTTTGGGGTTTTTCAATTAAAATATTAAAACAAATCTAAAAACTGAAAAGGAGCGTGAAAGTAAGAATAAAAAAATGATATGAGGTATATTGATTTCATAGTAATTACATATTATAAAGAATTTTATAAACCATTGAGCACTCCATATTTTGTCAAGTATATTGACATGGACAAAATAAAATGTAATTCCTTATTAGCCCTCAGTCAGTCACTAATTTGTGATATTTGCCCAAAGTTTTTCCTCGTGCCTTGGAGAATTGGAGTTTATTTTTCAAAAACTTTTCCAACACAGTGTCTTCTCTTAAGCCAAAATTAATATAACAGGAAACTGTATCAAGCAATGTCATCATGAGGAAAATAAATCGCCCATTATTCACAAGATATATTTCTGGGTTAGTCAAACATCTGTTTTCAATATTTCTATTTTTTTTTTAATTTCCAAATATTTCAAAGCATTAGCTAATTCTCAAAATGGTATATTTAAACTCTGACTTGACTTTATTCCTGACTTGACTTTTAAAAACAGTTGTATTCCACTTTCATATCATCAAAAAGCATAAACAATTCATTTAAATTTATATGTGTGAAACAAATGCTCCTGGTAGTATCAACATAAAGTAATGTATTAAAATGTTATATATTAATATATATATATATCATACTTCCAATTCAATATGGTTTATTGCTTTTTAAGACAATTACCCTCCTAACGCATTCACTCTTTGCTCAAACTGATTCAGAGTTATGAGTTTTTACTCTTTAAAAATATTCCTGACTACAGCATTTTAACAAATGTATCAATTTGTTCAGAAATAATACTGAATATATTTCCAGGTTTGTAAATGTGCTTAACATCAACCTCAGCAAAATGTTAAAACTTAGAATGAAATAAAATACATGCTTATATGAACTTTTAAATAATCACTAGAGGGGGAAAAAAGTATATTTCAAAGGTAATGGAAATTTGCTACGCTAAGAAAACAAAGGAACACATTGACTATGTGCTCAACTCCTTCACTCTAGTCAAGGTTATTCTCTGCAACTGAAAACCGAAAGATACAGAGATACTTTTTTGCAAAAATGTTTTACACTTAAGACTCTTGGGAAGACCATGAAAGCACAAACGTCGGTCACAAACACTTGACTCTCTTTCAGATAAGGGGGGAAAAAAAACGCACTTTCAAAATACCCAGTTGTATTTCGCACTTGGAACATCAATAAATCGTTGGACTAGTAAATTTATATAAAGTAATTGTTATAGTTTATTTTGTTTTTATCCTCAGCAACAGGGACGAAGCACAACCAAACATGGGCTCCGGGTTCCTTTTGAGATGATTTATTATCACTATTATTTTTGTCTTCTGCACTGACAAGAGACAAGTGGATTTTAAACCCAGGTGACCTTCGAGAGTCATTCTGGAGAGTGAAACAAGCAATGTGATGATTGTTTACTGCGGTTCTGTTACCCCTCAGCACAGCCTGCGGTGGGGACCGGGGACCACGGAGGGGTGGTGGCCGCAAACAAGTTAAGAGGGAAACAAACTAACAAATAAAAACAAAACCGAATCCAGCCCCTGAGCGCTTAATCAGAAGCAGCTCTAAAGTGATCAGTGTCTCGGCGTTGTCCGCTCTCTGGACAAACTCGCAAGTGCGCGCTTTTGCCTTCCAGCTCGGAGCACAGAGAGCCATCCTCCCCTCACGCCCACGGAGGCGTCGCCGGGCTGCTGACCCGGACGTGGGGCGCCCAGGCCCAGGCTCGGGGACTCCGCGCCCTGCTGCGCGGGGGGTAAAAAGCAAGGGGCAAGACGCAGGGCGCGCCCGGGCCGAGCCAGCCACCGGCCGCGCGGGCAGCGGCGGCGGCGGCCGGGGCGGGGCCCCCGGCGGGGTGGGGCGGGGCAGGGGCTGCCAGACCGGCGCGCCCGCCGCGCCTAGCATCCATTACGCCTCCGCCAGACCTGGACACTCTAGGGAGCCGGTGGCGCCCTAGCTCCAGAAGGAGCCGGGAGGAGGAGAGAGGCTTTCGGGAAGCGTCTCCTCTGAGAGAGGGACGGCGGCGGCGGCATTTACGAAGAGGAAAAACAGCAGCTGCACTTCGCCTCCAAGCGTCAGACTCTGACTTATACATGCGCTCCCAGCAGCGGGAACTGACCTCCCCAGAGAGTATGTTTGAGGAAAGTGGAGGAAGGAGGTCCCTCATCTTCCTCCAGCCACCCTCAGGCACCCCTGGGGAGGCCTGGCACCTGCGCGACGCGGCTCCTAGCGCTCGCCCCTGGGTGCCGCGGCGCCCCTCGGGGCTTGCTCGCTCCCACAACCGCAGCTGTCGATCGCCGCTGCGTGCTGGGAGCGTCACCACTGAGGAGCGGGGCGCACTCGCCCTCCCGCCCACCTTTTAAACCTCTCGCTTCTGCATTTAAAGAATTCAGCCTTCTAGAATCAGAATCCTCTTCACGTATCTTGCACCCAGAAGAGAAAAGCAAGCGAGCGAGACATTCTGGCTGCAGGAACCTCTCCCCCTAGTGATGCAGTTATTTATAGCTCAAACTCCTGCCGGGTCTGCGTGAGCTTGCGCGCCCGGCTTCGCCGCGGCGGTGCAAACTTTTCCTCAGGTCCCGCTATTCCGGAGCAATCAGTACAAGGTTCCAGGACTGAATGTTCCTAATCGCTAATGTCGTGCAAATAGAAACGTGCGTTTTGGTGTGTGTATGGGTGGGTGTTTCTGGCCGACGTCGCTTCCTAGGCTAACGCGTAACCGACAGCCAGAGTCATGGTTTTTTTCTGAAAATTTCTGTGAATGGGTTCAGCGTCAACACTGGTTGCAGATGTGGAAACTGGGGTCAGAAGGTCAGGCTGTCTCAAGAAGTAGGACAAGGCGTTGGGGTGGGGGCGTGTGGTTTAAGTGAAAGAAGAGGGGTGAGCGAAAAGAATGAAAAAAAAGGCAGCACTAAATCACTAAGTTTTCAGGGATAGACGAAGCAAGAACCAGTATCTAACACAAACCCCTCCCCCCCCCC